TCAGTCATTTATTGTCTCTATTTATCAATCAAAATACGTTTCGGTGTATTTTTCCACCATCATCAGTTTTTATGTGTAGCGTTGTTGCTGCTTTAGGCCTTGGCATGCATGCCAAGGCTTAAAGTCAGAAAAGTATACACTTATAAGTTGTTCAAGTGTTGTCAATAGTCCTGTAAACAATAATAAAGTCGGTTTTTGAACTCTTCCCTAACATTTCGGAAAACTTCACGGGGAATTGACTGGCATTCTGCTGCAATTCGACTTTTAAGATCATCAATATCAGCAGGTTGTGTTTTATAAACAATGGAATTAAGATTGGTGCAAAATGTCCACTTTATCCAAACGTATTTGCTGATTTGTCTGTTTGTCCTAACCTAAATCTAATAAAATAAAAATTAAATTTCTCTAAATGTGCTCACTATTCATATTTTGTTATAAATTTGTTCGAAGAACTTGTCATTTTCGGTTACGTTGGCGCTATTGCATATATTCCAAAACCCGTCAGTCTAACTCCTTATAGCTTCCCAGTTTTTTTGTTGGCCAAAGTGGACACTCTTGTGCATGCTTTCCCAGGTTTACAGATCCTTTCCTCTTTCTCTTTTCGGCTTCTTCGCTGATTTTCCGACTCATTCCTTGCACGTTCCATGCACCAAAAATCACTGTCCTTTTGCGTTGCTTGGGTCGTCCTCATGGGTATTTCTTTCATTGATTGACCTGAATTCTTGTTTGCAGGCTTGATAATGCAATCCGGCTGAACCAGCACGACATCGGCGACGTGGATTGTCAAATAAAAATTGACTTCAGGATTCTGGTACCCACCGTGGGAAACCAGGAAACATCCCTGTTGACCAATTTTATTGAGGTGGGACACAAGGAGGTGCTCGAACACCCATTGTGCGAGACGTTTCTGCTGCTCAAATGGCGCAAAATCAGGCACTTTTTCTTCTTCAGCCTCCTTTATCAGACCGTGTTTGTTAAGCTGTTCTCGTTCTATATTCAAGGCGTTTACCTAAAGGACTGCCCCTCAGCGCGCCGATTCAACTCGAAGAAAACCTGCCTGGCGGATGATATCTACATGGACATTGGCTATTGTCTGATCGGGCTCAATGTTCTACTGATGTTCAAGGAACTGTTCCAAATACTCCACAGCTGGAAGACGTACATTCTGGAATGGGAAAACTACCTCCAGTGGGGCATCATTATAAGCGTGTTCTGCTGCGTGCAGCCCATGTACCAGATGAACATACGCGAATATGTGTTCACTTGGCAGCACCACGTGGCGGCCGCCAGCGTATTCTTGGCCTGGGTCGAACTGATGATGATTGTTGCTCGCTTCCCCACTTTCGGCGTGTACGTCCAAATGTTCACCACTGTTTCAATCAACTTTTTCAAGTTCATGTGCGCCTATTTGTGCCTCATTATCGCTTTCACCTTGTGTTTCGGCGTCATCTTCGCCAATTATCCGGCCTTCAAGCAGCTGCAGTTCGCCTTCATTAAAGTGATAATCATGATGTCCGGGGAGCTGGAGTACGAAGACGTCTTTTACTCGGATAAGTACGAAATCAAGTACCCGTACACCGCTCACATCGCTTACTTGGTTTTCGTAATTCTCGTCACTATCGTTTTGTCCAATCTCATGGTCGGCATGGCCGTTAACGATATACAAGGTTTACAAAAAAGCGCCAACTTGGATCGGCTGGTGCGTCTGGTTAGACTCATGGCCCACTTGGAGAGTATGCTGTTTTCGAACTTGCTCAAATGGGTACCGTTGAAGGTTCTGGTATTTTTGCATTCGAGCGCGCTGCTGTTGAAGTCGCAAAGAGACTTTACCCTAAACATCCGGCCAAATGATCCGCGGGAAAACAAAATACCGAAAAACTTTATTGAAAACGCGTTTCGACTGGCCGTCGCTAAAAACCCACACCAATCGAAGTCGTCCAGCAAGACTGGCAATTCGAAAAAAAAGCTAAGAAACATGGAGCAAATTGAGCAGGAACTCACCGCGGAAATGACTCGAATCATCAAGCATAAGCTGGAGAAAGTCAAGCTAGAATTGCGTGATAATTAACCAGTTATTAAGTACTTATTCATTGTGTTTAGCAGCTTTTAGTATTACTGTTACTGTGATATCGAGTCCAATGCCACCTCTTGCAATTTAATTCAAATAAATTCCTGGGTTCCAGTCAATTTCATTGTTTATCATTTAAAATGTTACAAATACGTTTCGGTGTTTTTCTCCACCATCATCAGTTTGTCTAAAATATACATTCACAGTCGTCATTAGTTTAAAACAAGAGCTCTCTTAAAATATACATACTAAAATACAAATTATAAACATATTAAAAAGTATATGAAAATCGTTTGAATCTCTCCAGGTGATGAGACAAGACGGATAGATCAATCATGCTCGGAAAAAGACTAGAATTTATTGTTTAGAAATTTAAATTTTATTTACATGTATGACTGTTTAAACCTTCACATTTGGCAAGCCATTGAAAAATCTTTACTTCGTCCAATATCGAGCGAAAGAATAACAAAACTGTTTACAATATTTGGCATTTGGCAAAAAATATTAATCAACGAAGACAATTATAATAAAAGAAGAATTCATGAAATGATACAAATTAAAAAACATCAGAATGCAATGAATTTTAGATCAGACACCGACAATCTTAGCTCTATACAGGGTGAGTCAAAAATCAAAGTCAAAAGGGGTGATAGAGGCTCCCTTGGGGAGTACGAGAAAAATATTCAAAAATGTTTTTCGAAAATTTCTAGAAGATATTAACAGTTGAAGATCGAATTTCAACTTTGTTATTAAGCATTATTTTGAAATTGTTCCATGTTTAATTGGTAGCATATTGGAATACTTAACCATTCAAAAAGAAAAATTACGATCTTGGCTTTCAATTACGAAAATTTTTGATATAAAAAAGTTCTCATTTTTTGATGAAAAGTCATAGCGGCAATGATGTTTTTTGTCATTAACAGATAGTTATAGGTGGACAAGTATTGGACATAATCGAAACAGGGCCTTCCAGGGGCACTCAGAGCACAATAACTGACACTTTCCCTAGCACCAAATAAATTCCGAGGAAGGGCTACATTCCCACCACGTTTGTACGATACACACAGCACAAGGAGATACAAATGGAGCAGGAGTGAATTAACTGAATACGAAAAGCTGCTTGATAAGAGTGGATAATAAGGAGATTACACAAGCACTAGCTTGTTTGGAGTTAACCAATCAAATGTTTGGTGTTGTATGGTTCATTTTTAAACACCAATACTCGAAGTTATGAGAACAGGTTGACATTTCGTCAAAAAATCTTGTTGAATTTACCGTTTATCCTTGTTTATCTTATTGTCAGTCTGTATAATTCCATGGTTACCGGATATATTATTATTTTTTCTTTACTCCTATAACAGCGCCAGACAACACCTCCAGAGAAATGACGCCAATTTTGAATCACCCTGTATAGCATTCACTAATTAAACGACCACCTATATACACTAATTAAACCAACTACATAAAATATAAACACCTGGTATATTGAAGAAATGCAGACCAAGTGATATCCTCAGAATGCATAGAAAAATGCCAAATATTATAAACAGTTTTTTATTCTTTCGCTCGATATTGGACGAAGTAAAGATTTTTCAATGGCTTGCCAAATGTGAAGGTAGAAACAGCCATACATGTAAATAAAATTTAAATCTCTAAACAATGAATTCTAGTCTTTTCCCGAACATGATTCTCCTGACTCATCACCTGTAGTCCCAAGAGATTCAAACGATTTCAATATACTTTTTAATATGTTTATGATTTGTATTTTAGTATGTATATTTCAACAGAGCTCTCGTTTTAAACTAATGACGACTGTGAATGTATATTTTAGACAAACTGATGATGTTGGAGAAAAACACCGAAACGTATTTGTAACATTTTAAATGATAAACACTAAAATAGACTGGAACCCAGGAATTTTATTTTAATTAAGTTGAAATACAGTCAGGAAAATATACACAAATCTCTTGCAATACTGATTTAATTATATGTAGTTGCATCCGAGACGCCTGATTATACGTCGTTCACATTGTTGAACTCCGAATAAATGGGGTTTAAAAACCCAGTTGATGATGGTTTCAATGGATGGATTTGGTTGTAGGCCTGGGTAACGCTGTGTTGGGTTGCGCTTTTGAGTTGTTGTAGCTCTCTGAGTTAATGAGTTTTAACTCATCGGTTAATGAGTTAAAACTGTTAACCTAAAAGAGAACTTTGATTCGATTTGGTCCCAATTCAAACGTAAAACGGGTATTGGGAAATAGCGATTAAGAAGACCAAACGTTTGGGTCCGAAGACGACGAGTTTACTTGTAAAATCGATTTTACAGTAAAACGTTAGGAAAAACCTCATTTTCCTGCTAAGAGAAAGTTTTGTTGAGAAATATTGATGATCCACAGCGACGAAGGTGACGAGTTTTCCAAAGTATTGATTGTAAAGTTTTGCTTTTTCTGTTCGGGGAAAGATTTTTGGGAAACCATCCAGAAAAGGTATTAGAGTTTTACATGAAATTCGAGTGGAAATGTTTTCACAAAGCTGTTAACCAAGCGAGTGTTCCAATGAAATGTAATTTTTTTCACAGAAAATAGTTGAAGATTGTCCGTATTTTTAAGTAAAATTGAAAAATAATGCTTTTTTGCGTAGGATTAACTGCTTAATAAAAACTTTGCTAAAACTGGAAAGACGTGAAATTTTAAAGAAACTTGAAAACTCTTCAGAACGATGATTATTTTCCAAATAATTTTTTGAAAGCTTTTGCTCTGGTCGTTTTTTTTCAGGATAATCTTAAGGTACTTTCGGTAAAAACGACATAAAAATATCTGGCTTTTGTGCCAAATTCTAAGCTGAAAAGGGTTTTCTAAAATTCCCTTGCTACAAAGCTAAATATTTATCTTGTAATTCTTCGCGTTAGCGACCTTCAGATCGTCAGTATCTTTAAGTGAAACTATTCAAAATAAAGCATTTTTAAGTCGAGTCAACCAAGAAAAAATTCTAGTAAAGTAAAACCTAAAAAAACCACAGTTTTTTAACAAACTCTATAGTCTTCAGAGGATGGTAACGAGTTCTCCAAATAATTTATTATAAAGTAATGGGCTTTTCGGGTTTTTAGGCCGTCGTTCGGTAGAATTTCTTCCTGACGTTTCGTAAGCACCAGTGGCCTGCATCTTCAGAGGTGGTTTGCATAAACGCTTAACACTGTTCCGATGCGATTCCTCGGGCGCAGTGGGCGCAAGCGTGTAGACTGTGTGTGGAAGAAATTCTACCGAACGACGGCCTAAACACCCGAAAAATCCATTAGTTTCAATGGAATGGATTGTCCTCGAAAGTCTATCT